TCAACTATTCGCTAATATGAAAAACAAATGATATTCACATTTTTCTTATTTAAGAGGACCAACTCATTCAGCATACGTTCCTGTCAATTTGACTAAAGTGGTAATAATGTTCCTTTTTTTGTAGAGAAAATGTAAATTATAAACTATTTATAGAAAATGTATTTAAGTAGGTTTTTTGTATTTGTTTTTTAAAAATGTATAGACTACATTGAAGAAAGAGACATGGCACAGTTATGAGAGAAAGTAGATTAGATTAAAAATGTCTTGCCATTTCCTGTCACTGTGTAAACCAACAGGCCGGCTGTGCGTCAGCCTGTGCTTTTAGTGGTACTTTACTAAGATCTGTAACAACTATAGCTCAGCTTTTACAATAAATTACTCTGTTGGAAAACTAAAGTGGTTTTTGTGCGCTGCGTTTGAAACTGTAGGGCTGAATGTTTCTGTGATCAATCACAGGATGTCTCTCTCCAGTCATCTTGAAATGATTTAAATCAATCTTCATTTTCATGCTAAAGCATTAAGAGACTCAAAATTAAAGTAATTTTTTTTGTTAGTCGTGTGCAAACATTTCCTGACTGTTCTCACCTTTTATTTGTGAAGTTAGTGTCTTTCATTCAAGTATTTTTGTACCCCTTTGGTTTATTTATTACCTTGTAAATGTGCCACTAAAGCAAAGACAATCTGATCAGCTTAATTTAAATAACTCCTAAATTTTTAATGTTATTTTTAATATTCGGCTTCACCTAATGGACAAAGAAAAATACTGTTGGACCAAAAAGGTACAGAAATCCAAACTGTGTCCACACATAAAGAAGCCTGTTAGAAGAAACCCTTCAATTAAAGCACAACTTGCTAGCTCAGTGTAAGTTTCCCTGAGTAAGAATTTAGTAGGTACTTAGTTTGTTTCTCATTTTATCTGCAGTCCTTATCCTCCTTTCTTGTCACTGACAGCCTCCCCTAACTTTCCCATGCATTTTCTACTCTGCATGCCACCTCTGGTCACTTTCTTACCCAAATATCACCCACTGCCATTTGTTCCCTTCCTCCTCCCATAAAAAGAAAAAAAATTCCATGACGCTCAGGCACTGCTGTTTATAGCCAAACAAGGTCATGAGAATTTTACAAGCTGTCTGTAATCCAGCATCCAAAAGAGGGCGATCAGGTGTCTGCACAAAATGTGCTGAATAAATACACAGAAACAAAGAATCATCCTGTGGGTGTGAAGGTTAGATTTATGGAAAATTACGCACACAAACCTTTGTGAGTCCTCAGTGTACTGCAAGTAATTTGCTTGCTGTTCATAAAAATACGTTAAACGCAAAGCGGTTGACATATTTTCACTTCTGGTTCCTCCTTCAAACAAGAAAGTCAAAGGTACTGATCTGCACTATTTGACTTGAACACACTTTATATATAAGCTTTGAATCTCCACAGATAACACGTTCTACAACTTGCAGCTGAGGTAAAAGACAGCAGGAGACAGATTCTGCTGAAATGTGAGTGGAAATATATACAGGATTACTAATAAGGCCATAGAAATAGATCGCACCTCTGATCTCTGAATGTACTCGAAGCAGTCTGGCCATTCTCCTCTGACCTCAACAAAGCATTTTAACCTAGAGAAGTGACGTTCACTAGATTTGTTCTCTTTTTCAGACCTATTTTCTGTAAACTCTGTCACCAGTTTAACTTGTTGATGTTGAAATGCATTGTGTTGCAGTCATGATCAGATATTTACACAAGACAAACAGCTGAACAATAGTCGAAAACGCACACACAAATAACGTGTCCGCATGTGTGCAAGTTATTAGTTAAGAGACAAAGGTTTAGACATTTCCGCTTCAGCTCTGTGTGATATTATTTAGAGGGGACACGATTACTGTCATCGCAGCTATAAAACTAAGAACACAGAAGCCCCGCCCACCTACTGTTTAACCCTTGTGAGAGGCATCCAGCGGACAGAAAGTTGGCTCAAAGGTAGGTGAAGTGAGCTAAAACAGGATGTTTTACACAGAGGATAAACTGAGGGGTTGTATTAAAATGGCCCATTATTGGACAAATAAGCCTTTGAAAACTTCCTCCACTTACTTCAAAAAAGTCTCACAAATATGACAGCTGTTCTCGAAAGATAATGTAGAAGAAAAAGGAAGTGTTTTTCACACGCCGTCTACCGGGACACACTGCGCCCGGGCAGTTTTTTGTTGTACTTTACAACCTCCCAATAAAAAGCCACATTAAAACTGTGTATTTAATCCTGCCCACAAAGATAAACTTTAAATTTAACCAACAAGATTTTCCATATTAGTTGTGTGCACATGCTCTTACCAAAAACTCTGACAGGTTTTGAACAAGGCCAAGAGTCTGGAGCCTTGAAAACGGGATAGTGAAGTAATAACAATAATGATAATACATTCTATTTTAGGCACCTTTCAAAACACTCAAGGTCACCTTACACAGAAGACTGACGTCACAGTGTTGATCTGTTGATGATGATATTGAAATGTCCATGTTAACCAAGGTTAATATTTAACATTATAGCATAATAATCATTCTTTAGCATGTTATATTTCCAACATTAATTAACAGAACAAACCCAGAGTAAGGCCATATTTGGTAGTAAAATTGGGATATTGACTCAATGAAGGCAAATTAAAAATAAATAGTATTTCAGGTGTGCCAGCATTATTTTTCTAAGAATGAATGTGTTATTTCATGGATCTGTTATCTGGAAACCATGGAAGTAAATTTCGCAGTAATCCACTGCTGTTTAGAGATTTCAGTATAAACCAAGTGAGCTGACATTACTGTCACCGGAGCAATCCCACAATCCAAAAGGCTTATCTTATAAACTACAGGAAGCCGTTTTATCCAGGCCCTGTTACAGCCTGTGTACGACTCACTCTACTGTCTCAGTTTTGCAGGGTTTCTCCTCTTTGAGAGCCTGACAGTCCAAGAGAAAACAGCGAGTGAAGAACACAAAGCATGAAGAGGTGGAATAACGCAAAGAGACAGAGACAAGTGCTCTAGAGGCTGATGTGGCTGTCGCAGGACTGTCCTGAGAGCAGTTTATGTAAGAGGCTGTAAAATACATGAAGTTCACAGGCAGGTGATTACTGTTAGTTCCTGTAATAAACATCAAAGTGTGAACTCCCTGTTCCTGTTCAGGCAGCAGCATAGTTCCCTTTTTGCACAGTCACCCTGGATGAGTTACAACGCCCTCTGCTGACAACTCATCTAATGGACTGACTGCAAATCTGATGAGTGCATGGCATGCTGCAGTAGTGTCTGTCTGCAGTTTCAGTCTGTTGTTCGGTGGTCGGCAGGCAAGTTTTGCAGATATAAATCAGGTTATTGTCACTTCAGTTTGAGTTGATTTACGTAACGCCAGATCCCAACAGTCGCCTCAAGGCGCTTTATGCCTAAGTTAAAGAGGCCACAATAATAGAGACGTTTGATTCTCGTGCAATTAAAATGCTATGATGCTTATATAAAATGATAAGGGTATAAATGCTAAAAAAGGGTCATTTTCACATGTTGGTGTTTGTTTGTTAGGTAAAATAAAATTTAATCTAGATAAGGATTAAAATTAGTTGCCATGACTATTGCTGAAGTCTTGTAGTTTGCAGAGAAGCAGACAGAAATTTGGTGGATTACAGCAGGATGCTATAATCTGAGCATCATCTGATTGCTGACCGAGTAAATTAATTAAAAAATGTTCCAATTAAATATCTTGTAAGTGTTACAAAATCAAATCTTAAAATCAAATGCTTGTTTTTTTCATGTCTTTCACGTAATTGGTTTTTGGACCATTGTTGTTCAAGACACAAAATGTTAAATCTGTGGTTTTAACCTTTTTGTTTTAAGGGGAAAAACCCCAAAGGTTTTACTAATGCTAAAATTCACCTTGTATCCGTTTCTATTGTTAATGACTCACAAAATGGTGAATTACTTAATGGTCAACGTGACAAGAGTTAAATGACATTAATCAGTCATATATCTTTTGACAGTTAATGGACTAAAATAATATTTGCAGCCTAATTTTGAATGATAGTGAACTCAGGTAAGTAGTTTGAGGAACTCTGTGTCAGCAGGGAGTGGTTTCCTGGTCCAGCTGTATGAAGGAGAGCTGGAGCGGTGTGATGGGAGCACTGCCAGCTGAGGAGAGGCACACCTGTCTCGCATAGCTAATTAACCTCGCAGTCAGAGTTTTCAGAAGTGACTGCGAAGTGTGTACCTGTGAGTTATAGTCACATAACTGTGAGTACAAACCACAACATTGCATTCATTTTTACTACACGAGTAGCTGCACCCAAGAGCTCGAAGTTTGTTGTTGAAAAAGTGTGACGTCCAAAACCAGAAACACTGACAAAACCCTCTATCCCTTC